AGAACTAACGAAATGTTATGCTTGTAAACAATCCTGTAGTAAGACATATCACACAATGAGTCAACCCAGCGTGCTCATTGTTCCCGTTAGGCAACCAGCATTCAATTTCGGTTATGGAACTTTGCACTTAAAACTTGGCAGGGGATGGTCAGGACCAGAGTCAAATTTTAAACAAAATTTGACGAACTCCAGTTGTGCTATTCCTTGAATACTAGGCTTAGTTGATGAGCTAGATTCTCTCAGCCTATAAGACCTTTCGGTAGGCAATTCAATTCTGAAAAATTGGCTCCAATGTTTAAGAAGATGCTAGCTCCTTACGACAATATTATTAATGAATGTTGATATATTAATATTTGTGGGCAATGTCTGTCCTAACAGATAGATCACTTCTTTAGTGTTTTTAAAATTTCTTTTTTTTATTGTGGTAGCATTGGTTTATAACATTATATAAATTTCAGGTGTACATCATTATATTTCAATTTCTGTGTAGATTACATCGTGTTCACCACCCAAAGACTAATTACAATCCATCACCACACACATGTGCCTAATGACCCCTTTTGCCCTCCGCCCTCCCCCCTCCCCATCTGGTAACCACCAATCCAACCTCTGTCTCTATGTGTTTGTCATTGATTTAATCTTCTACTTATGAGTGAGATGATACAGTATTTGAGTTTCTCCCTCTGAATTACTTCGCTCAGCATAATGCCCTCCAGGTCCATCCATGTTGTCACAAATGGCCAGATTTCATTTTTTTATGGCTGAGTAATATTCTATTGTGTAAATATACCACATCTTTATTCATTCGTCCCTTGATGGGCACTTATGTACATCTTTAGTTTGATTATGCTATACCCTTTCTAAAACCGTATTTGCCATGAAAAATATTGATGTGCGTTGGTGCCGACAAGTTAGCCCAGTGTCCATGGTGCATTTTGGGGAGCAGGGCTGGTCCATGAGCAATTTAGCTAGCACTTGTGTGTAGAGGTCTGAGCATCTGATGGATCATTCCTCTACTCTCTACCTCATCTTTCAGTCTCTGTTGGATCGAGATAAATATTGACAAGTGACATTGAGAAAACCAATAAGCTTTTCTGGTCTTCATTTTCTGCATCATTCTTCCACCTGTGAACCTTGTAGGGCACTGTGTGTGTTTCTCTATTACAGTGCCCTGAGCTGCCAGGATTGCTTTTCTCCAAACTACGTGGAAATTCCATCCTTCAAGGTAAAGACTAAGCTTATTTATCTTCTGTGAATAAAGCCTGATGCAGTACTGGCTATATTTCAGCTGCTCAATGAATGTTTATCAAACACATCAATGAATTTCCTAGTAAGCATTGGAGAATGCACCAGTGGGAGAGAGAAGGTGAGTGTTTTTGACTTCTAATATAGTAGATTCTGAACCATTCAGAGACTCTGGACTGCCTACATTTCCCCCAGTTTTTGGCTGTGCCAGAGGCAGCATACCTCCCCGTAAATAAGAAAAAGGAAAGGAGAGAACCCAAAACACCAGTAGATTATTTGATTTCCACCCAGTGCAGGTAAGCTGGTTTGCAACTAACAATGCTGAGCCACTGCTTATAAAACCAAGAGTCAGTGACACAGAGACCACTCCAGCAGGGATGGATACTTGACGGGCAGGAAGTAGTTGTATGGAATGTGAAGAAGACCACGAATCCTGCAAAGGACTTTGCAAACACACAAGAGCAAAATTAAATCTCTTGGAAGGGCCATCTTGAATATCAAGGGAAAATAGCAGGCTTTTAGAATTATTCTTTTCAGACACACAGATGTTAAGAGAGCCATCATCCTCATCCTACTCAGAATTCAGAAGCCACTCTAGTTTCTGAGCATAATTTTCATACAGTTGATTCTCATGTATTTGTCACTGAAGCCAAGACACGTATGTGGAGCCTCCTGTGATATTCTTCCCCTCTTCATACTTGTACGTCTGACACAAATCTCAAAGTCTTATATCTGTAAGAGAACTCTCAGTTGTTCCCTTCTATATCTTCTCCTCCCTCAGTCTTGCATATGTGAGCACCACCATTGACACAGTTGACCATTGACTCAAAAACCAACATTCATTCCTGATTTGTCTTCTCTCCATCTCCACTAGAACAACATCCAATCCATAGGATAATTCTTCTGCCTCCAAAACATCTTCTGAACCTGTCCGTTTCATTCATCTCCAATAAAGCCACTTGTCAGATCTATCCTCTTCTCTTACCTGCATCCCTGTGATGGTTCCCTGGATGAGCTTCTGCTCCCATGATCGCCCCCATAATCTGTTTTCTGTGTACCAGTCAAAGGATGTTTAAAAACGTAAACGAGACCATTCCACCTTCTTAATTAAAACCTTCCCATGACTTCCCATCACGTTTAGGATAAAGTTCAGACTCTTTCTCATACACTACCTGACCATGCATTCTTGGACCCCTCTATCTCTCCAATCTGTTTTCCCGTCTCTATTCCCTGTACTCCCTCTGCCCTTGTCTGGGTGGAATTAGATCCAGCTCTTCAAGGGGTTGGGTCCTTCTTATGATTCCTGGATCAACCTAAGTGTCACCTTCTCCCACTGCCTAATTGAAAGTTGACCCCCACACCGTTCCATAGATTATCACCCTGAGCTCTCCTTGAATGCAACCTGGCAAGGCATAAATCTCTGGTGAGAATGGGGGCAGCCACAACAATAGTTTTTGTTTCACTACCAAATGAGCTCATCTCATGATGTCTGTAACTACAGCAGTCTTTCTGTCCCCTGTCATTTAAAAGGAAAGCACTCAACACGATCAGAACAGCTACCTCCTGAATCTATACATGAGACAAATGGTCAATAACTTATTGACAATTGATAAATGCCAATTCATTGCCACAGTTAATTAATAGTCCGTGTAAAATTTGCCCATCCAGAGATCTCTTTCCACTGTGTTCAATATGCATTGAAGGATTTAAACAAGTTGACCTGGGGCTTGCCTTTGAGGTCCACATTGGAGCCAAGGAAAAGAGAAACAGCTGTGAAGTGCAGAGGCATAAATTACTCTTGGACATCCTTAAATTGTAGGATTAGTGGAAATTGATGAGGTATGAGTATGAATAATGAAAGATGGTTGTGGTTAAGATAAGCTTTACCATGAATAGGGGAAAAAGTTTCAAACTTTTTTTCAGAACAAATGCATGCATAAATACGGGCCAAGACGCATCAACACGGCCGTAGTGTTTCCACAAATCAAATTTGTAATGCAATCATATACTTTGAGAGAATTTTCTGTGAACCACATATTGAGAAGTCATGGTCCCCTCCAGTCCCTCTGGGCAGAGGTTTTGCACACAGGTTTTCCACTTCAGAAGAAACATTTATATTTTTTTATCAGGAGGAGGAGAAAGAGAAATTCGACAATCACACCACCTAAGTCAAGTGAGAAAAAGAAGCATCTCCCCAAAACTCACGTCCACTCAGAACCTCAGAATGTGCCCTGATTTGGAAACAGGACCTCTGCAGATGTAGTTAGTTAAGATGAGGTCGTACTGGAGTAGAGTGAACCCTAAATCCAATGACTAGTGTCCATAAAAACAGTGGAGAAGGTGTAGGGAAGGCCACGTGACTATGGTGGCAAGGATTAGGGTGATGCATCTACAAACCAAGCAACGTCAAGGATGGCTCCCAGCCACCAGGAGCTGGGCAGAAGCATGGAGCAGATTGTCTCCTAGAGCCTGCAGAAGGAACTAACCCTGCAGACACCTTGATCTTGGACTTCTGGTCTCCAGAGCTGCGAGAGAATACATTTTCGTTCTTTTCATCAACCCAGCGCATGGCATTTTGTTATGACAGCCACAGGAAATGAGTACAGCCAGCTTTGTGGATAAACCATGTTAGGGAGAGAGTGGAAGGTCTGGCATTTTACAACCTTTCAGACACATTTTGTACTAGACACTCCTGACAGGGGTAGGTGTCGTAAAAATGGTGAGCAGCATCCCCAAATCACAGGTGCTCCAGAGTTCTCATCAGTGTAACAAAATCTGGGATTGCTATCTCTAAATGATGCCTTAAAATTCCTTTGAGCCTTATCATTCGGTTTCCATTGTATAAGCAAAAAGGAAAGCTAAAACTTCTCGATCCAGAGCCTCGCAGTACTGTACTATCACACAAGCTCAAAAGCATTTAAACAAAAGATTCCACCCCTAAAATTTGCTGCCAGCCCTAAGCGATAAGTCATCCCTGAACTCAGGCCCATAGGCAGTCATCAGCAAATTAAACTTTATCTTGCATTTGTTCCACGGCCAAATGTTTTTTAGTAGCAATTAGAGTTGAGTTCCTCAAGTGAACGTTGCAGGGAGGGGACTCGGAGAATGCTTTCCAGGCTGAGAGCTGAGGATGCCGTGCATTCAGTTTTTATGTGGTTGAGGTCCGTTGGAGTAGGGCATTCTTGGTGACATGGCCAAGATGGACTTCATTGGCAGAGTCCCCGTTACAGGCGTGCGGTAGGCGATTTCCTTGGGTTTTTTAAGGTCGCCAGGAAGGACTCCCTCATCTGTCTCATCTCCATCATCCTCTCTATTTCTGTTCCTGCACTGTCTCATTCACCATTCCTCAGCCCACTCGAATCTGCATTCTTTCCTATTGGCTCCACCATAATGGTGGCAGTGAGCATGCCCCATCCCTAACTATCTCTAAGGGCAACGGACCTTTCCAACCCTCTTCTTAATGATCCCACAGCAGCAATGGCTGCTTCTTGAAACACACCTACTCCTTGAATTTCATGATTGTGATGGGATCAATTGAACCCCGTGCCTCCCCCAAATTCATATGGTGAAGCCCCAACTCCCAGTACCCTCCTTATGTGACTGTATTGGAGAGATGGGATCTTTAAGGAGGTGATGAAGGTAAAATGAGGTCATGAGGGTGGGCCCTGATCCAATAGGACAGGGGTCCTTATGAGAAGAGGAGGTGAGGACCCAGACACGCACAGAGGGACGACCATGTGAGGACACGGGGAGAAGACAGCCATCTACATGCCAAGGAGAGAGGCCTCAGGAGGAACCAGCCCTGCCCACACCTGGATCTCAGATTTCCAGCCTCCAGGACTGTGAGACCATAAATGTCTCTTGTTTGCACTACACGGTCAATGTTATTTTGTAATGGCAGCCAAGCAAACTAAAATTGCTATACTCTTCATTCTTTTTCCAATCGCCCCGCTAACTCTTTATCATTTGGCGGAGTCTTCCTGGCTGTTAAATGTTGCACCCGGATTTTAAATCTGTCCCAGAGAAGATTTACACCACTTATGGAAACACTTGTGTGCCCCACATTCAGCTTAAGAGGGAGAACATCTTCAGTCTCCTAGAGGACACCTGTGGGGTGTTCATATACTTCAAGCCTCCATCTTAAGGTCTCTTTGCTTCTAACTCTTTATTCTCTCTCTGCAGGATGCTGTCCGCAATGACAAGTTCAAGTACCACTTATTCATCAATGACTTATATATATTCAAATATATTTTACGGATATAAAATACCTCTGTACATATATACATTTATGCCCGTATTAATATATATCCATATTCATATATATATATATATATATATATCAGGTATATATACATCAAACTTTTCCCCTCTACTTTAGACTCCATTTGGAATGACCCTATCATATCTTTGGTTGCATGTCTTCAACCACTGGTTCTCAAACTTTTTGGTCTCAGGAATCCTTCCCATTATTAAAAATTACACAAAGACCCCAAAGAGCTTTTGTTTATGGGCATTGTATCTATCAGTATTTACCATATTACAGATTAAAACTGAGAAATTAAAAACACATTGATGAATTCATTTTAAAGTTATAAAAATCATATATTTTTTCATGAAAAAGAATATTTTTTCAAAATGGAAAAAAGAAAATACTGAGCAGAGTGGCGTTTGACATTTTTACCAACTGAGTTTGCGTATCTGTTTTGGCATCATCTCTGGTCGACATGCTGCTTTGTTTAAAGTGTGTGAAAAATGATTCAGCCTCCTACAGATACATCATTGAAAGAGGTAGGCATATTTTCATAGTCTTTTTAGATTATCCTGGAGATTCTTTGAGACCACACCAAAACTTGACCTCTTGTGGGTTCTTAAAGGGTAGTTGCCATGACCAGTGTGAAATCCTATCAAGCATGTTTTCACACTCGGTCAAATTAAAATCCATTGGTCTCCCTGGCACTTTGAAGCATCTTTTACCAGTGTGTGAGTTGCAGCCATCTTTTGTAAATATCAGTGCCTAAATTTGCAGATATTCCAAGTATTGATACTTTGTTACAAGATATCAAAAAATCGCACTTTCTATTATCACCAGCAATCTCATGCAGAGTCTTTAAGCCCTGGGAATCTGTCAAACTCACAGGAAAAGAGTGAAAAGGGATTTGAGCCATAAAATCCCATTAATACTGATCGGTGAACCAGGTCCTGTCAAGGGTGCTTCCCACCCAAGCCTCCAGTGTCTCAAAGAAGCCATCATCCAGTTGAAAGAGGCATGGGACAAGAAAATAAAGAAATAAAACAGTGTAGTAGGCAGAACTCTAAAACGACCAGCAGATCCCTGGCCCCTATAGTGCACACACCTTCTTCACGTGATTCAGTCAAATTCTAGGCTAGAGGCTGATGTGAAGGACTTTGCTTCTGTAATTATTGTCCCCAGTCAGTTGACTTTAACATAGGGAGAGTATCTGGGTGAGCCTGACCTAATCAGGTGAGACCGTACAAAGAAATGGGACTCTTTTTTGGTGAAAGAGACTCAATGCCAGAGAAATTCACAGCATGAGGGGTATTCCACGTGAGGGGGATTCTCCGTTGATGATTTGAATGTGGGTACCTCTATGAGCTGAGAGCAAACCCCAGCTGACAGCCAGCAAGGAAATGGAGATCTCAGCCCAACCACACATGGGACCGAATTCTTCCCACAACTGCATGAACTTGGAGGAGGTACCCAAACTCAGATGACAAGGCTGCCTTGAATTTGGCCTGGCGAGGACCCAGCCATGCCGTACCCGGTCTTCTGACCTATAGAACTGTGAGCTAATGAACACGTGTTGTTTTAAGCTGCTGTGTTTGTGGCAATTTTTAAGGCAGGCATAGGAAATTGATGCAAACAGTTTTGTAAAGGCTTTTTGTGAAAGAATTTTGAGAATTTTATTGGGAATCGACACTGACTGGAAGCAAATTGATCAGATACCCACAAGTTTTTAAGGGAATCCTATTTTTACAGAAACAAGGAGCCTATGACCATCTTCGTGTTTCCAAAGGTCCATGAGCAGAAGTGGGCACAGAACTCAAACAGCCCCTAGGAGGACAAGAGATGATAAGGTGGACCCTGACGATGCCATGATTTCCATACACCAGATTGCTGGTCTCTCATTCTTTTCCTTTCTGAAAGGGAGGCATGTTTTCAGCGTTTGAATTTTCCAGCTGCCATTATTCATCAGAATAAGGAAAATAGACAGCTCGTCTTTGACTTTACAGACCCCTGGACTATAAGGAACCATGGCTTTGTAGGGATGAGGAAACGAAGGCTTGTGCGCCAAATCTGGCCCTCCACTTGTTTGTATAAATAAAGTTTTATTGACACACAGCCACACCCATTTATTTGTGTTTTATCTATGACTGCTTTTGCACTACAGTGGGATAGTTGAGTCCCTGCAACAGAGAACCTACGACCCATGAAGCTGAAACTATTTACTATCTGGCCCTTTACAGAACAGGTTTACCAACTCCTGGTCTAGACCCAATTCACATATTTTGGTAAAAAAGGTCTCCCCTCAATTAACTCATGTGTTCCTGTGGACATACTCAAATATCTACAGAAAAAGAGCCTCCCTGGAGGACATAAATTGTTGCTGTGCCCAATAATAGAAATAGTAATCACATGCATACTTCAATTCTGTTTATCTACACACCTTCTAGGACTCCAATCAATCAACAACCAACAAAAGAAAATTCAAACTCTGGTCGTCTGGATATTTGTGATAATTGAGTTTCCTCTGGGTGTAAGGAAACATCCAACACTGAATTCTTCTCTATGGCTGGTCCTACTTTTATTAAACTTGGACATTTTTGACAACTTGTTCAGAATCATACTTTCTACTTTGCTTGGAGACAATTGCCATCGTCTTTCCCTAGATCAAAACTATGTGCAATTATCTTCTGATCTGTCCCAGGAAATGGGAGGTGCCCAGGAGGTCCCTTGATCGAATCACACTAACAAGATAAGAGAGCAGATCAATAGCGCGATTAATCGCTGGAGTGCCTCTTCACCCTGAACGCTTCGCTGAGCCGAGTTGGTGAAAACATTCCGACTGAAATGATACAGCCCATTCTGACCGCCCTTTGACGTTGCAAATGAAGTATTGATTATCTATACTCAACCTCAGTTCTGGCTTTGCTTAAAACTTTGTGTTTTGTGGGAAAGGCTGTTTGGTATCAAGTCTTGATTCCGTAAGCCTTAGGGTGGCAACAGCCTGGTTAAACCAGTGGCATGCCTCGTTGAAGCACGATGCTTGGGTTCCTGTGCTATTTTTCGTGGGTGGCTGGAGGACGTTCTAACATGGGGGGCCTCATCTTTTCTTGGATTCTTTGTTCTCCAAGACGAACCCATTTCCTGCAGCTTTTGGTGACTGCTGAAGCCATGTCCTTATTAAAAGTCTTGGCTAATGTGGTAAGCCAAAAAGGTATCTACTTTTTCACTTGCATTCCTTTTATTTCCATCCATTTTTAAAAAGAAGAGTCCTTGTGAGAAACCCCTCAGTCTCAGCCTAGGAAAGAGTTACTCTCCCTCACACAGTCCCGGACTACAAACCTTTGTTCCAGCTACTTTACTTGGTCCCAGCTGTTTTAAAATAGGAACACGTGTGTCCTATTATGTGTTGATTGATGGGCAGAGAATTTCCTTAGTTGTCGGTCATTTTGGGCCTCTCTACCACACCACATTACACAAGCACATGCACCACGTGCTCATGCACACACATGACACAGACTACACACATACATTCAAGCCCCACACAAATGCTTGTGCAAGCACACATGCCACGTGCGTACACACATACCATACACACACAAGACACATTCACGTGCACAAGACAGACCACACACACACACCCCCACATACATACTTGTTTGTAAATATCAGGCACATGCACACATCACAAACTCGTGCACACACACACATAACATGCACATATGCATGTGCTTACATACACATGATACTCACACACCAGGACACACACATGCCCATATTCACACATCTGCACACACACCACATATGTGCACATGTGCATGTACTCCTAAACACTCCCAAATGCACTTCTTATAACTGAAGTGTGAAAAGCCGTTTCATAAATTTAAATTTAATTTATACAATTTAATTTATGTGATGTAATTTATATAACGTGTGAATTTAATTTATACAATGTAAGTAAAAAATGCTTGAAGAAACATTTAACCATTTTCCTCCAAAAATTCACTTTTTTTTTTTTCCTTGGGAGACATTAGCAAAAGCTCCTTGAATGTCCTAAACTATGTTGGGTTGGAAGAATTGCAATCACTATGTGGTTTGAATCAATCCCATTTTCTTGTTTATTGTTTCATCTACTGGGTTGGACGGCTCAACATGTCACGTGAAATATAAACTCAAAAAAAACCACAATCAGCCTTTGTTTTTGCTTTTGTGGCTTTAAGGGGAAGCAGGAAGACTAATGAAATAACAGTATCTGTAATAAGGCAGTAAAAAATAAATAAATAAATAAACCATTCACAGAATCTGGCTTTGGTTTAGCTGTCAGGAAAACTCTTTTGATTTTTGTGACAGACTAACTCCAAGACTGGGGTTCCACACACGTCCCCGTGGCTATATATGTGGAACAATTGCAGGCAACAGATCGAGAAAGATGCAACCCGGAATCCAGGGAGGGCACAAATAATAGAGAAAAGTTTGTTTCTCAAGATTCTCATTTTTCATATCGAAAACTCTCACTTGAAAGTTTCAGAAAAGAATTTGGCACAGGGAAATTCATGCTACGTGTTCTAAAAATGATCCCCACATCCCAGAGGATTAGTACAAAAATATTTATGCCCTGCCCCGACAAAGTCCAGTGGGGTGTTCTTCGTTGCGTGTTTCTCTTGGGCAATTCTTTGGGGTGGTCAGCCCCCAGAATGGCTCCTGAGGATTTTTCTCCTTGTAATATTCACTTGGTAGTACTTTTCCACAATATACCGGAGTCGTTCTGTGTGACCGACATGGCGAAAGTGAAGGTCCTCATTTCCACGATTACGTTATAAAAGACCTTACGATTTCCATCTTGCTCGCTCTTTCTCCTGAACCACTCCCTCTGGGGGAAAGCAGCTACCATGTCTTGAACAACCTTTTGGAGTCATGTCCACATGCCAAGGAACTGAACGAAGTCTCTGCCAACGGCCTAGTGAGCAAGCTTGGGAGTAGGTGGTGCAACCCAGTCGATCTTTCAGAGGAATCTAGCTTCAGCCAGCAGCTTGACTGCAATGTCATGATATCTCATGATATCCTGACCCAGAAGCACCCAGATAAGCCTGTCCAAGATTTCAGAGCCTCAGAAACTGTGTGAGATAGTTGATGTCTGTTCTTTGAAGGTTCTAAACTTTGGGGCAATTTGTTACACAGCAATGGGTGACAAATCCATCCTTCAAGTGGTAACTTAGGAAAGTAACTCCTTCCATGTTGGGACGCCACCATCTGTGGCCTCTATAGCAGCCAGAGGTGGGAGAATAGGAGGATATTAGTGGCATATCTAGCATCTTTAACACTTTGGATGCATCGTTTTATAAATCCCCTTCTTCAATATGACAAAAATGTTTTCAGCAACCATAAAATAAAAATAATAATAATAATGATGGAAGAGGAACATGATGAACAAAGATTTTTAGGTATTAAACTTCGTATGTATAATCATATTAGCAAGAATAATAAAAATAAACATTAACAGTATTAAATGAAGGAAAAGTAATGGATTCATACTTTCTACATCAATGATTTTTTTTGAGGAAAAGGGGAAAAAATGCATGAATTCCTTGCAAAGAAGCCAACTGCACATGGTTCAAAGAATGATTTGCACCTAAACTCTTGATACTTTTCCCTTAAAAATCACTCACTTATTGTTGATTTCTACTCTTTAAACCCAGCAGTATTTAAAAGTTTGAGAAATGGAGGCAAAATTGCACTTGAAGCTTGCTCAAATGATTCCGAACGGGTGTGAAATTCCTCTAGGAATGGATATGTGTAGCTGAAATGTCTGTATTGAGACAGATGGTGATGGTTCTCTCAATTAACTGCTATGTGGGATATACCACTCATTAAAAGACAATTAATACAAACACGGTAACTAGAAGCTCTGAAGTACAATATGCTATTAAAAACACAACAGGAACCACAGCAAATTGTTTTAGAACTCAGATGAACAAAATATTTTTTCCGGGGAGGACTATTTTCTTGTGGATATTGTTAAGAATCTCTGGTACATGGTGATAATTAAAACAAGCCCACTTTGGTTGGCTTTAGTTTATGTCTAAATTCTCTGCAGATGTATATCCTCTTCTTTCTTGTGTGTAGAGTATTGTCCATTCTTGGGATGCCACAGTTTGGGAGAGATTTATTTTTAATGGGACAGGACTTCCGCCTGAATGGTATTGGCCAGAATTAATGAACACTGTCCAGCCTACAGGTGTGTGCCTGTGCGTGGGTGGCTGGGTGGTGTGTAGTCTTCCTATGTTCCCAGGAGGGTAATGCACCACATCTATGAGGATTCCTCAAATTCCTTTTCATCTCTAGCCTCATGTCCCCACAAGATTTCATGTTTTGATCAACAAACTCTCTTCTCAAGTTGTGTACGTTATCTTCTTCCCTTTTATTAAAAAAATCATAGAGGTTCTAAATATCATATTTGGTTGGGATCCAGACTCAACCTTCCACCCAAGTATTATATACCTGTTGTTTACCAGGGTCAGCGAATTTTAATCTCTTATATTTAGGAACTAAAATGTCTTGTCTATTTTCCAAAATTCAGATTCACATTCCTCGATCTATTTCATAATTTAGATGACATTGAATTCTGGCAAAATCTTTCAGGTTAGTCGAGCACGGGAAGTCACCGTTTTGGGAGCACTGTACATATGGAAAACTAAAGAACGATACCGCTTAGATGAATGAGGGCCATCCTATATGTTTTATATCTCTGCCCCTCTTCACATCATTGAGAAACTTCCATCATAGGAAAAGTGCAGACAAACGATTGCTTTGGAAAATTGGAAGTTATAGTTTGAAAACCCACATTACCTTGGACAAGTAAGAAATGGAAACCTAAATCTGGTTTTCAGTAATGTTACTCTTGTGTTTCTTAGCAGACTTTCTGGTGGATGAGAATGAGGGCAGTAGATTCAGGCCAAACGCAAAAAACAAACAATGAATTCCTTATTTATCATTTCTCCATAAAATAACTTTTTTTCCCGGGCTCCTCCAGACAAGCATTTATACAGCAAATGATGTACCATACTAAGTTAAATATTTGGGTTGATGTGTTAGTAAATTTTTGACTAGAAACACAACATCTTAAATCTCACGTTGCTTTATGGGTACAAACTTTTCAGTGGTTTTACAATCTTGAGATCATATTTATTAGATTTCTTCATGAACTGGCATTAGAATGGCTGCTGCAAATATTAATGGAGTGCTAGGAAGCGTTGAAACTCAGCTTCTGTGCGATTTTACACCACAAATTGTTTCTGGATTTCTTCCAGCTCCCTTCTACGTCTTTCCCTAGGCAATGCTTCTATTTATCCACTACACAGCATTACAGCAACAAAAACTAAACTGTATTTGCGTGATACATTTTTAAGCAACAAAGTTTCTGATTTATCCATTTGACGAGCAGCACAATGTTGTAGGATGTTCCTCTCAGTCTAAGTGAAGAGACCATATTTTCTCTCTATCCAAAGCATACACGTTTTGCAGATGAGCAGACAAATGGAGACGGTATCGTACATGTAGGGAATTACATTTCCGACCTTCACATACAAGTTTTCCTTGTCCTGTCTGCTCCCTCCTCATCCATGCATTGTCCTCTGTTTATTCAATGGTCTCTCATTGGAGAGAATTCTTGAACTCAACTCTATAATACCAAGGAAGGGGGGCATCCATGTATCTCCATTTGTTTTCCACGTCAAATTTATTTTGGACCAATTTACTGGAGAAAGAAGAAGAGAGCACAGCCCTTAAAAGAACTTATTTTTCTCATTAGCAATTCTGGCCACTTCTAAGGGAAAGATTGGGAAGACAGACCAAAACAGTGGTTTTGTATTATTCACAAATCTCCTTTATTCCTGCTAACCTAAAACCAATTTTAATGGATTATTGAGATCGGTTGTTGCCCACTAAATATAAAGGGAGTATTCCTACGGTTGTTGTTACTTCAAGATTACATATTTGGACATTTTTTTTTTTTTTTTGAGGAAGATTAGCCCTGAGCTAACATCTGCTGCCAATCCTCCTCTTTTTGCTGAGGAAGACTGGCCCTGAGCTAATATCCATGCCCATCTTCCTCTATACATGGGACACCTGCCACAGTGTGGTTTGCCAAGCGGTGCCGTGTCCACACCCGGGATCTGAACTGGCGAACTCTGGGCTGCTGAAGTGGAATGTGTGATCTTATCCCCTGTGCCACCAGGCTGGCTTCACCCTATGGCTCCTAGTAGAGTTCTCTGAGCATAAATAGCAATTGAAAAATTTAGATATTATGAAGAACGTATATGAGCAGAATATACAAGATGAGATAAAAAAAAACAGCCCCACACAGTAACTCAAAAGGAATTAACTCTGCAGCATTTAATCTATTTCAAATAGAACACAGCTTTCTAGCTACGATCTTCCACTTTCCAGTTTAATGAAAACAATGCTTCAATGCAGTAAATTTGTGGTATATAATTGCTGGTAAGATTAACAGGGCTTTTACTGTAAAGATCCTGAATGGTGGGGCCACTTATTTATTTATCTATTTTTATTATCCCTTGAAAGCTTTTGTGTATCCCTATTGTAGGACAATTAATGGCTGTCAGAAACACTTTTTAGGCAATGTAAAGTAGGGAGAAAGCGGTTAATAGTCACAAAACTCATTTTTTCTTTGATGGGACATTTATTGTTCTCCCTTACTCATGGGAAAATGACTTCCAGAATCTGCTAAAGAGAAGGATAGAAAGCAGAGAGAATAATTTGCCACTGCCCTTTGGCTCGAAATGAAAAGCCAGCCTCCAGTTGCTGAGCCAAGAGTATTCTGATCTTAAAAGTCTATAGGTTTCCAGCTTAGCATTCACATGAGAACGAGGTGTGATGGCCCCGTTTTCCTTTTCTTGAGATGTAGGCACTCTGAAACAGGCTCTCTCGACAGAATATGTGTTTCCAGATGCCCACGGCTCAGAAATCTTTGCTAAAGAAAAACACCAGAACCTCCGCCATCCCTGTTGTGGACTGGTTGAACTTCCAAGAGTTGAAGACTGGTAAGAAGTTTGGGAGGTGGAAGCAGACAAGCGCTGTGAACAGTAGCATGATTGGAAGACATGAATCTCAAACGAAGTGTTTTATTTAAAGGCAGAAAAGTAACATCGACAAAGCACAGTGCCGGC